CTTTACCTACGGCGGATAGACAAAACGTCAATTTCAACTCAACCCACCTACTGGTTTTGATCGGAAAGCTACGAGGAGTCTGAAATCGAGGCGGTGAAATAAGTCGATTATTGAAATGGTTGGAATCGACAAAATTAAAATGACGATCGAGGTTTTGGGTGTCTATTTCCCTTCTCGATTCGGCCTAACTATGACCGATTTCAGAGCGAGGTTGGTCGTGATCGCTTCGCGGAGGTCAGGCGCACCTGATGGAAGTGGCGGTGATGTCCACCACTGGTCAAAAAAGGAGGAGGAGGAGGGGTGAAAGCTAGCTTAAATGAGGAAAAATGAGTTTAACACACGGGGAAGATGAATCTTCGAAACATGATAATCATCCACATTTAAAAATAAAACCAACCCTCTATTATTTTAAATAAAAAAATACATTATGGAAATATGATTCATCCATTGTTTTCCACTAACATTTTTTTAAATGTTTAAAACCCCATGCCCCCATTATTTTACTCTTAGTGCTCTATATTTATTTTTTAATATTATAGTAGCAATTTATGGGATGTGATAATTCTCCCCCTCTAAAAGAAATTTCGTCCTCGAAATTCATCAGAATCGGATAAGAAACTAAGATTAGGTCTCTGATAGATCCTTTATTGGACAAAGCTAATTTGACAATATCAAAATATCTTAATAGACTCGGAGTGGAATCAGGGTCTCGGTGCCTTAATCCAAAGTCTTAGGGTCTAATGTCGAAACTCGGGTATAGAAAGAGTGTTGTTAGAAATGTATGACATGAAACAGAATTAACAATAAATATACCTGCAGAAGTATTGAACTCAAATCGATCATCGGAACTTCAGGTGGCGTAAACAAGAGCAGGCTATCGAGCCTCAGAAGCATCTGGTCCTTTACTCTGCAATCGAGCTCTACTGTCAACCCTAGAAACAGATCCAGAAGTCCTACCCTAACTATGACTCATATCTGGAGTCTGAACAGAGGCTTGAGAACGTATAGAAGTCTGAACAGATGTGTGATCGACAGGAGCTGGATATGGATAATTTCTCAAGAAGTGCTTGCTAGATCCATAACGAAAATAGGTACCCATCTTCTTACGACACTCTCCTTCGTGTTGATTTCCACATAACTCACAACTCAATTTTGGAGTGGAATATGCAGAATCCTCTCGACTAGCTACAGTATGTGGAGGAGATGCAGGCCTTGAATCAGACCGACTCATTTGATGAGGAACAGTATGAGACCTTTTATCAAGGCGTGAAAAAAGTGCAGACTGACCAGAAGGCTTCCTTGATCGTTCTAGACCTACTCTATCACTGTCAGGTGTAGAAGCCTCGACTTTCTCCGCGCCTTTTGCTCTCCCAACTACAATATCAAATACCTCGTCCTGATGAGTAACTACCTGGTGACGCAACTCGAATCGAAGTCCCTGAGAAAACTTTCGGCATTTATCTCTCTCGGTAGGTACCAGACTGAATCCATACTTCAGTAATTTCAAGAACTCAATCTCGTATTCAAAAATGGCCATATCTCCCTGAACCAGGTCTTGAAACTACTGTCATCTCTGAGTTAAATAACGCTCTCCCAGGAAATGGCTCCTAAAGCGCTCTCTAAAGAAATCCCAGGTCAAACGATTGGTCTAAACACTAATAACCACTCACTCCCACCAGGTGTGAGCATTCCCATTGAACATAGAAATTGCTCCTAAATAACGTCGATGCAGATCTAAACCTAACTGATCCATGTGTCGCTCAGTATCAATAAGCCAATCCTCAGCCTCAGTCGGATCTCCACCAGTAAGGCCGCTAAATGTCCTAACTCTATTTGCATTAAGGGTCTGAGAGATAGGAACCTCGGGTACAACGCCAGCAATTTTGACAGCTCTCTGAATCATATGAAGAAATTGTCTACCAAAATTCTCATCTAATATAACTCTGGTAGACTCGGGCTTAGTACCATTCACTCCTCTTATCGGAGCAGTCATGCCAATACCAGAGGCAGAAGGTAAATTCGTCGGGGTCGTAGGAGCATAATCATATATCGTAGGTGGGGGATCTACACGTATCTCATCTACTAGGTCTGCAAATCTAGCCACTATGCCGCGACCACGGCTAGTTCGATGACCACGTCTAGTACTCATCTTGGTGGATCTAGAGTTTACTACAGAAGATAAAACATAGGGTTAGATAAGCACTTAGAGTCTCGAACACAATTAAAATCGTAAAAACTTAGTGACATGACCTTAATGACTTGTTTTGTAAAACATTTCAAAATAGTATTTTCAGTTTGGACTCATTCACAGTCTGAGGTTTAAAAACCAAAAGCTCTGATACCAATTAAATGTAACCCCCTAGAACCAGTCTATGTGTTTCGACTAACTCTAGCGAATTACATTAAAGATTCTCAAAGACATTTTTTTCCAAAACATTATTCGATAATATATATCATATTATAAATGACTTTTATAAAAGTATATAATAAGTAACGATAAAACTAAATTCGTAAATATAAAACATGAAAGAGACTAGGTAAAATATTACATGAAACAAATCTGGATCATCGAAAATCAAATATCAGTAACAAAAGTAGAAAACATCATAAAACGATAATTACTTCAAAAATAAGATACATGTCACCATAATTAAAAATAGTTCAGAAGACAGAATATTACAACAAAATACTCTGAACAAAATGTATTAATCCTCCAAGTGCCTGATACGGAGTGTCTATCCCAGAGTATCTGAAAGGGGGGTAAAATAATTTGAAAAGTGAGCTAGAGGCCCAGTGTGTCCCAACAATGCAGAAATAAAAACATACAGTTATGATTTTTAAAACCAGGACAGATCACAGTCATTAAAACATCATAGGAGTTTTTAATTTAAAAACTCTATATCATTCTCCAATTGAACGCTATGTGCAGATCCCCAGAACTGCATAACCTAAGGGAGTAACTCGGGGCTTGCGAGCCTACCCAAGACAATTCTTGGGGCCACTAAGGCTTACCCAAGAAAATTCTCAGGGTCGTAGAGCCTACTCAAGGCTCGACTTAGGTCCATAAGAAAATTACCAATCGGTACTGAACCTATAAGAGGAATTACCAACAGAGACTGAACCTGCCAGAGTCTTCATACCAGAACCCTAAGTCACCCGAAGAAAACATTTTTCAGATGGTAACCAGTAGTAACGGAAATTTAGAGTTCAGACATATCATCAGTCCAGTTAACCGGTATTCAAAAATCATAAGTCGGGCAATCATGCTTTACATTTTAGTAAATTCAGAATCAAGTAAATCATACAGTAGTCAAATCATATCAAACATTATATTTCAAATCAGAGAAAACAATCATGTGCACATGAGATTTCAAACAGATATTTAAAACATTTATTCTGCACATAAGGAACACACCTCGATAATAGGGTCAACCTGGAAGATCTATCGAGTACCAGCTTCACTAGGCTCTTCGACTGAACGAGAACCTAAGCCATATCAGAACAGGGTTATATTCGGAATAATATTATAAATAGAATAACTAATAGGGTTTTAGAACTATACGAGTATTCACGACTTCTTGTGGACGAGCGGATCGAGAGGAACCAGGTCGAGCAATGAAACAGTCAGGAGATCCCCGCGTGTCTTTAACATTTTATAACAATAATTAGTTCTTGACCATTCAGTTCAACTAACTAACTTAAAACACTTAGATAAATATGAGTTTTCAGGTTTACGGGCTAATTCAGAGGCTTTCGGTTTTGAATTTTTCAAAACGGATTCGGGACGTCGAATAAATGTCAGAATAGGTATACCCGAAAAAATCCACAGCCGTTTAATGGCCGGTTAACGCCGGTCAAAGTTATGGTCAACGGTGGTCAGTCAACAGTCAACTTTTACAAAATAGCACATTAACAGAAATTAATTACAAAACTAACACTATTTTAAAAATATTTACGAAACTAACACCCTTTTAAAAATATTTACGAAGCTAACACCCTTTTAAAAATATTTAAGAAACTAACACCCTTTTAAAAATATTTACAAAAATAACACAGAATAGAAATTAATTACGTATTAGGCATTATTTTAAAAATATTCACAAAAATAGCACTGAACATAAATTAATTACGTATTAGGCACTCTTTTAAAAATATTTACAAAAATATCACCCGAGTTTTTTACATATTTCACAAGTCAGGTCAACGGTCGGGTCGGGTCAACATTCGGTTACTCCCTGAGCTACAACAATCTAAACCAACACCAACTATAACATATTTTCAAGCTAAAACACTGAAATATTATAAAAATTAAATGATCTGACTTTACCTACGGTGGACAGACAAAACGTCAATTTCAACTCAACCCACATATTGGGTTTTGATCAGAAAGCTACAAGGAGTCTGAAATCGAGGCGGTGAAACAAGACAGTCGTTGAAATGGCTAGAATCGATAAAATTAAAATGATGATCGAGGTTTTGGGTGTCTATTGCCCTTCTCGATTCGACTTAACTATGACCGATTTCGGAGCGAGGTTGGTCGGGATTGCTTCGCCGAGGTCAGGCGTACCTGATGGAGGTGGAAGTGCTGTCCACCGCAGGCCAGAACAATGAGGAGGAGGAGGGACGGAAGCTAGCTTAAATGAGTAAAAATGAGTTTAACACACAGGGAAGATGAATATGCCAAACAAGGTAATCATCCACATTTAAAAATAAAACCAATCCTCTATTATTTTAAATAAAAAAAATACATTATGGCAATATGATTCATCCATTGTTTGCCACTAACATTTTTTTAAATGTTTAAAACCACATGCTCCCATTATTTTACTCTTAGTGCTCTATATTTATTTTTTATATTATAGTGGCAATTTATGGGGTGTGACAACAAGGTACTCACCGATTGAAAATGTGATTTAGTTTGGACTACTCGAAGGCTTAAAAAGTATATGTTGTATCACACTACTTGGTTGATCTCTAGACTTGATCTTCTGAAATATCTAATGGGTGTACATGCTTTATCTGGGAGATTGGCTCGTTGGAAGATTTTATTGTCTGAGTTTGACATCCAATATCTAAGCCAAAAAGCAGTTAAAGGGAGCGTTATAGCAAATTTCATTGCAAGCAGGGTTTCTAAGGAGTATGAACCGCTGAACTTTGATTTCCCGGACGAAGATTTGATGGGTATTTCAGCTGAAGAGGTAGTTTTCTCTATTGATGAACATTGGAAGATGAATTTTGACGGTGCTTCGAATGCTTTGGGGCACGGGATTGGGGTAATTTTGGTATCACCTAGTGGAGAACACGATCCTTTCACCAATCGGCTAAATTTCGATTGCACAAACAACATGACTGAGTATGAAACATGTATTTTGGGTCTTAGAGCTTCCATTGAGCGTAAAGTAAAAATACTCAAAGTGTATGAGGATTCAGCTCTGGTAATTTATCAACTTAGAGGTGAATGGGAAATGAAAGATCCCAAGTTAGTGGAATACCATAAGTTATCTTGGAGCTCATCAAAGAGTTTGAGGAAGTGACATTCCATTACCTCCCCAGAGAAGAAAATCAAATGGCAGATGCTATAGCCACTTTGGCAGCAGCCTTCAAAGTCAATGAGCACTGAAATATGATGCCCATCAAGATACAAGCTTATGAGTATCCAACCCATTTCTATAGCATATAAGAGGAAGAAGATGGAAATCTCTAGTATTATGATATCCTGTAATACATCATATATCAAAGTTACCCTGAGCAGGCAATTGAGAATGACAAAAAAATATCGACAAATAGTTGCAGGATATGTTCTTGATGGTGAGATATTGTACAAAAAAAAAAGTCATAATAGGTTTTGTTGAGGTGTGTGGATGCCAAAGAAGCTAAAATAATCACTGAAGAAGTGGATGAGGGAGTATGCGGTACCCATGCTAATGGACATGCAATGTAAAGACAAATAATGAGATTATTGGTCAACCATGGAAACTGATTGTATCGATTATGCCAGAAAATGTAACAAGTGCCAGATTTATGAAGAGAAGCTCCATACCCCTCCTCATCCATTGCATGTAATGACTGCTCCGTGGCCTTTCTCTATGTGGGGATTGAATATCATTGGACAAATTTCACCCAAAGCTTCAAATGGTCATCATTTCATTTTGGTGGCAATAGACTACTTCACCAAATGGTTAAAATCGTCTTCCTATGCAAATGTCACTCAATCAACGGTTTGCAAGTTCTTAAAAAAAGAGATTATCTGCCGATATGGGTTACCCGAAAGGATCATCACCGAAAATGCCTTAAATTTAAACAATAAAATGATGGAATCAATATGTAAATAATTCCAAATAAAACATCATAATTTCACCACTTATCGCCCAAAGATAAATGGGGTAGTAGAGGCAACCAATAAAAACATCAAAAGGTTTATAGAGAAAATGATTGAGACTAATAAAGACTGGCATGAGAAGTTACCATTTGCTTTGTTTGCTTATCGAACTTCAGTAAGGGCGTCAACTTCATTTTCTTTAGCCTATGGGATGGAAGCCATGTTACCTATCGATGTAGAAATTTTGTCACTTCGAGTGTTATCAGAGGTTAAGCTAGAAGAAGAAGAATACGTACAAGCTAGGTATGACCAGCTGAATTTGATTAAGGAGAAGAGATTAAAAGCTATATGTCATGGGAAAATGTACCAAAAATGTATGATAAGGGCACATAACAAGAAGGCTCGCCCACGAGAGTTTCAGGAATGAGATTTGATACTTAAAAAGATAATGCCAATTCAAAATACTTTAGAGGTAAATGGATGCCAAATTGGGAAAGTCTCTATGTTGCGAAGAATGCCTTTTCTAGAGGAGCTTTGATCCTCACCAAGATGGATGGACCAGAGTTACTGTAACATCCTCAATACCAGGTTAGTGACTAAATTATAAAATTTTAGAATTTGATGGTTAAAGTAGAACAGTTGAATAGTTCAATGATTTTTTTAAAAATATTTTCTGAAAGTTATTAGTAATTATCAAATGAAATAAAGGGAAAAATGGCCATTTGACTTGGAAATGATAAGATAATGATATATATGTATGGGGGGATAATGATAAGGAGATATTTTCTCCACTTCTTCTTCATCTTCTTTCTTCTTCTCCAACGTGAAGCACACAAAGGTAAGTTTTCTGATTAGTTGATTGTTTGTTGATTTTAAGTATGTGTTTTGATCTTTAAGTGATACTTAAGCTTAAGGAAAGCTTAAGTTCTCTTAAAATCAAAAGATGAAGAAGTTATGAAAGATTAAAGAGAATGGGGTTTTAAGTGAATTTCTAGAAAAGAGTTGATAAGTTGAATTTGAAACTAAATTTGACTTGTCATCAACTAAATTTTACTTGTCATGAACTTAATTAAGAGATATGAAGTGATATAATTGGATTTACAGTATCTCAAAAAATTGGTATGATTATTGATTTCCATATGAAAGATGGAATTTTGAGGTTAAGGATGTATTGAATGAGTAGAAATTAGTTTAAGTATATGTACTTGAGTTAAGAACAGAAAAGAGAATGAAACATGAAGAATTTAATGAAAAGTTGTGGAATTTTCTGGTGAAACAGTTTATTGTTGACAGGTGCAAGGTACACTATGAATGGGTACCGATGCACTAAGACTAATTTTGAAGGTGCATCGATATACACTGGCAGGCATCGATACATGAAAATTTTAAAGCTATTTTGGGTACCGATGCACCCATAGTGCATCGGTACACTCCTAAAGGAAAAAGTGAATATGGGTATATTAAATTCGTTTAAGTTATTAGCATCAAATTATAAGGTGTAGATATCTGATAATTACCTTAAAAATGTATGATTGTGTAGATATCAATCGAGACCAACGTCTGGATGAGTTTACAAGTAATAGTCATCGAGAAAAGATAAGAGTTCGGTATTGACTAGTGAGGCCATGTGAGTGCACATTATTTAGTATATGATGTTCAATGGAAAATAAGACTTGCTATAAGTCTATTTCCAATAGTAAAATACATGAATTCATAGAAATATGTGTTTGCTATGATTTATATGTGTGCATGAGTATATGTGTTAACAGGTTGTTATGTATATTACATGATTTATATAAGTATATGTTAGGGTGATAAGTCATATGAAACAATATAAATAATCTATAAGATTATATAAGAATATGAAATATGTTATAGAAATTACATAATGACATGTTTGTTCCTTGGTGTAGTTATATATGAGTTATTTGATATGAATATGGTAAGTAAAAGTGATTAATGGTGATAATAAGAATAATAATAAGAATAATGAAATGACATGTATATGTGAATATATGTAGATGAGAAGACATAAGAATAAGATATAAGCAATGTAACAAGAAGTGTGAAATGACATGAAAAGTTGATATAAGTTATGCAAAAGTGATCTATGTGACTATATGTATATTTGATCAAAGTTATGTGAACATATGAGAATAAAATATGAGATACGTGAATATAATATATGAGAATACATGCCTATGTGATGAGCTATGTGAAAGTAAATACATGAAAATAATATATAGTTAATGTGATATAAGTGATTATATAAAATTGTGAGAGAAGTTATATGGCAATGATGTATGGACGATATGAAAGTATGTATATGAGTACATGTATAAGTTTATATGTTATTCTACTTGCTATGTGATGTATATATATATATGAACATATGTGAACAGGATATGACATACCCACATGAACAAATGAGAAATGATATAAACCATATGAAACGATCTACGTGATTACATGTAATATGTAATATATGTTATATGATATGAGATATATGCTTACACATATATGTGGTATGTGACAGAAGAGAAAGAACATGTGATTATAAGATAAATGATATGAATACAAGAATATTATGCAATGATCTATGAGATCATATAAGAATGATACAAGTGATGTGAATTGTTATAAATGATTATGCCCATGTTATGTGATATGAGAGCTAGTGGTATAGTTGGAATGCCAAGAGTCGAGGGTTACCTATGTCTTTCGGGACATATGAACATGATTACCTATGTCTTTCGAGACATTTAGACAGATTACCTATGTCTTTCAAGACATATGGACAGTTTACCTATGTTCTTCGGGACATATGAACAGTTTACCTATGTCTTTCGGGACCTATAGACAATTTACCTATGTTCTTCGGGACATATGGAAAATTTACCTATGTCTTTCGGGACATATGGACAGATTATTATACGAGCTGTGGTGACAACATATGTGTGCACAACCTCAGTGTACTCACATACCTTAAGTTCTCAGTAATGTACATGAGCTAATAAAGAGATAATAACAACTACAATATATGTTATGTATATGCTTTTGGTGATATGAAATGTTTCACATGAATTATATGATGTTATATGTATTATATGATACACAGAAAAGATAAGTATACATTATTGTTCATGGTATTGTTCATATTATACATTATTATTCACGGTATTGTTCATACCATATATTACTGTTCATAAAAACGTTTTTACCTTAAATTTTTATAATGAAACATAATTCAATAGTATATTATTGTATTTTCTTAATATAAGTCCAAATATTCTTTTACTTTGTAAGAATATTGTTTTAAAAAGTCAATGTTACATCTCGAACTCGTATCCGGGTCAGGTACGGGTTGGGGGTGTTACATTTACCTACCCCTGTGAATTATGAATAGGGCTGTAAACGAGCTAAGTCGAGCTCAAGTATTGCTAAGCTCGACTCGAACTTGAAAATTTTAAAATTAGACTCGAATCGACTCGAAAACTCGCGAGCTAAAAATTATCAAGCTCAACTCGAACTCGAAATATAATATTGAAACTCGATTCGAACTCGAACTCAAAAAATTCAGGAGCTCGATTGATGCTCGAGAGTCGAGCTCGATTGAAGCTCGAGAATCGAGCTCGATTGAAGCTCGAGACTCGAGCTCGATTGAAGCTCAATTTTGAGCTCGATTCAAGCTTGTTCGCAAACTCAAATTTGAACTTTCAAAAATATTATATTACATTTATAAATATATAAATAATTTTCCCCCATCACCAATACATTATAATATGAATGTATGAACTATAAAAAATCTAAAAAATAAAAATACAATTACCATAAATTTAGGATAATTAATATAAGCTTTGAAGTTTTTAAAACTTCAAATTGAAAGTTTACAAAATATAACAACACATCTAAATTTATAAAAACGTGACAAATATGACAACATATCCAAATTTATACAAGATGACAATATTTTCCTTACAAAAGATAACAATATCATGATCAAGTTTACATACAAAAAATTACAGTTTCATGTTATGTTTATTTACAAAAAAATGATACAAAAAATGATAGAAACAAGTTAAGCTTACTTATAAAAGATGACAACAAAATGTCAAGTTTACTTATAAAAGATTGCAACATGTCAAGTTTACTTACAAAAGATGGTAGTTGCATGTCTAAATTCAAAAAAAAAATGACAGCAACATGCCCAAGCTT